CAAAATGGAGTTGAGTTCTGGGTTTCGTTTGCTTATGTATTTCCCATATATTTTTTTCACTAAAGTATCTTATTTAAAAAATATAAATTTATGAAATTTAATTAATTTTTATACACTTTTAATATTTTTAATTAAAATTATATTTTTTTTATCTTAATTGCACGATAAAAAGCAATTATCTTTCATCTCTCATTTCTTATCCCATTCTACCGCATGTCATACGATCCAAATTTAAAATTTTTTATTTTCAATAAAAAAAATAAACATTGAGATCATTAATAAAATTTTATATATTTTTAATATAATAGTAACAAAAAAATAACTACGTTACAACACTCAAGTCAAGTATTCATTGAAAAAAATAAATAAATAAAACTTCAAGTTAAGCAAGACTCAACTTCAAATCAAGTATTCATTAAAAATAAAAATAAAAAACTTCAAATCAGGTATCTATCTCATCTTTTTTACTAGGGTATTATATTATCCATTGCCAACTGTATATATTTAAGTAATTAACTAATACAATTTTTAGTTTACGGTTTAATTTAACTTAGATGATTATAAATTAATTTTTTATTAATAATTATAATTATATAAGAAAAATAATTTTTATATAATTTTTTTTATAACTTAATGTATCATTAAAATAATTAATTTTTTTAATTTATATAAAACTCATAAAATTAAATATATTTACTTATTTAATAATATATAAAAATTTTATAAAAAAATTACACATCCAACACCACCCATTATACAATTTATTCTAAGGTCGGATTGCCCCACACTTTCTTTTATTAATTTATAAATGAGTCCCAAAAGAAATTAATTTTATACATAAAGAAAGAGAGTTGATTGCGAAAGACAAGGACACAACAACACATCGCTGTCTTAAGTCTTAACCCCCTGTCTTTGGTCTCTGCAAACCTGCATATGTGCATATCTTTGCCTCAATATCCATTCACTCTCACTTTTTTTACATTCTCTCTGGTTTCTCTTCCCCCGCTTCATCCTTCACGCCTCTGCAATCTGCTTTGCTAACACCCAATTCGGATCCTTAATCCTCTCCCGCATTTTTGGTTTTGGGGAAGTTGAAGTTGCTCAGAATGTACTCGGCGATTCGGTCGCTACCGTTGGATGGGATGGTGGGGCACGGTGGGGAGTACCAAGGGTCGCTTGATGGGACCAACTTACCTGGTGATGCCTGCTTGGTTCTCACCACGGATCCGAAGCCCCGCCTACGCTGGACTGCTGAGCTTCACGAGCGCTTTATTGATGCTGTCACCCAGCTTGGTGGCCCTGACAGTGAGTTCATTTCAAATATATGCGTTTATATTTGCTTCTTCTCTATGTGACTGTCTCTGCTTCGTTTTTGAGCTTTTGATGGTTTCTCTCTCAAGGGTTGAGTTAATGGGTGATTTGGGTTGTTTTATAATTGTGTTTTGGTTGGTGGGCTTTCTTGGTCTATGAAATCTTTGTGCTTGAAACGTTGGTTTTTTTTTTTCTTTACTATTTTCTTTTGGGTTTATTATCCCTTTGAATAGTATGCTCTGTTAATTTAGAGTTTTCAAGGGCTAGTTTCCCTATCTAATCTGATACTTCCAGTATAGTGGTGCTTGTTTTGTTTTTTTGGATTGGTTTCTTTCTCTAAGATCTTGGTAAAATTTTGTTTTTTTCTTTTTTTCCTTTCTGTTTAGTGATTGTAAGTAATTAGGTTTGTATGATTAATTTCTTTTTGTTGTTGGTTTCTATTCTCAAAAGTCTCCCTTTTTAAAGGTTTCTTTTCCTAATACTCATCCTTATATTCATTTTCTTTATTTCCTTTATTTTTCTTTTATTTTTTTTAATTGAATATTGTTTAATGTTTGCTCTGTTGTCATGGGCCATCAAGTTAATCGGTCTTATCATGTTCCACATTTTATTCTGAATTAAACTGTTAAAAAGGAGTTTTTTTTCTTTTTTTTTTTTTTATAGAAAGTATAGTTGTATTGATAATTAAAGCAATTATAATGTAGACTATAACTCGCCATATAGGCTGTGTAGGATATATAAATAAGCTGGGAAGGAACTACGACACTAACATACAGAGCTAAGTGTTCCTTATGAATATAACAATTAGGAGCTAGGAACCTCTAAATACTAGTAGACAACGTTATAGGGTTATCAATAGAGCTATTAGAGTGATAAAAAGGAGTTTTCTCTCCACTAGTTAGTAAATAAGTTGTGTGATACCAGTTTTGACTTGGTCACCAAGCATCATTGCTATCATTATAATCATTGACTTTATTACTTTGGAGTATGGTCAACATTTATCGTTATTCTTGGCATCTTTAATGTCCATGCAGAAAATGAATCTTGACATTTTAGATGTTTTATCTTGCTGCCTCTATGATATTGCTTTCAGTTGATCCTTTTGACCTGTTGTTCAAGATATTGTGAGAAACCTAAAGGAAATTCCTTTTGATTCATAGATATTCATATTATATGATAGGCACATGAGCACGTGTTCACAGCCACATACACTGACTTTCTTTCATTGAGTTTGTTCTTATTTGCATGTTACTCTTTAGTATTTTTTCAGATTATGGACTGATCATCTGTTTCTGAAATACCACTCTAGCTAAGTACAAACGAAGGGACAGAATACTGTTTTGGAACCATTAGGTTCAATAATGTTGGCCACTGTAGTTTAGCTGGAAAACAAACTAAAGTGAATGACTTACTTTGTCTTGGTCTGGGGAAGAATATTCTTGGTTTAAATCAGAACTAGGCTTGATATTTTGCATTCTTAGTTCTTCATCAGTGAAGTTTTGAGTCAGAGAAACAATTACATCAGTATGATGGTAATTCTGTAGTGCTTGTTTCTTGTTGAGTTTTGGAATATGTGATACTTAAATATTCTATGTGAGTTATACTTGCAGCTCAAGTTCAAAGCAAATTAATGACCTTCCCAAGCATGTCTTTCAAATGGACTTCTAGCTACTACCTTCTAGGTCATATGCTGGATGATCTTTTAAATATTGATATCCCAAGTAATTTCTATGCTAGTGATAGTAACAAGTTGACTGTGGAAGAACGAAATGCTGTTTATAGTGGGTAGCCACAAGAATAGGCGAAGAGGGTAAATGGTTTCAGTGAGTTTCTGAAAGTGATGTAATATCCAAGATAAATTGCCCCATTATTTTGGCTTAATAATCATGATGAAGTTAGCATGTGATAAAAAAGTCTGCTAGTAATGATCATTTTTAACTGTTTTCCTTTTTCTATCTTTACTGACAACACTAAATGGACTGTTATCATCATGTTCAAAGGAATCATCATGTTCAAAGGAAAGGGAGAATGTCTGGTCCTATCATTTTCAAACTATCATTCTAATTCTACCATGTTCTCTCACTAGGTTTGACAATGGTCTCTGGCCAATTACACATGAGCAGAATCAGTACTGTTCTATGGGTTTTCTTTCTTCTCATTTTGATAGATGAGATAGTATCAAATGAAAACCGATCCTATGCAATCATACCCACGGTCGTTATGTGATATTTGCTTTCAGTTTTGAATTTCAGTATGTCTATCAATTGTGTATCATATGCTAATCATTCATTGAAGTTTAAATCTTAAGGCAGCTTACATTCTTATTCTGTTTCATATCCATTACAGAAGCAACACCCAAGACAATTATGAGAACAATGGGAGTAAAAGGTCTTACACTTTATCACTTGAAATCGCATTTGCAGGTTTGTTGTAGCCTCCAGTGGAAGAGTCTCATGACTCCTTTTATTATGTATTTAGTACCCTCCTGTAAATATGCATGGCTCTCTTCGTCTCCTATGCCACCACTTAGTGTCTTTACAGCCTAAGCTAATGGAAGATTTTATTCTTAGCACATAGCTGTATTTACATTTTCTTATTCCTTTACTTCATGCCCTTTATTCACAGAAATACCGGTTGGGGAAGCAATCAAGCAAGGAATCAGCTGATAACTCTAAAGATGGTACCTATCCTAATCCCTTAATGAAACTACACCTGTGCATTGTATTGTGAATGACATATTTTCTTTCTTCTTTTTCATTGCATTAACTTTTGCTCCTTTGAGGGGTACATAGGATAGAAGAAAAGTTTGCCCCTTTTACCTCTTAGTTTTTGGAACTTTCTATTGGTGCACTGACAAAGAGTAGGTAATGCATTTTGGAGTTTATAAACCTGTGCTTTTGGGGTTTTAAAATGATCCTAAATTGTTCTCTTTTGTTTTTCAACCTTCTGACTTGTCTATCATTTAGTTCATCTCATATCTTTTCCTTTCTGCCATGTCTCTGAATTATAAATGGTTTAGGGTAGGTCCAGAGAATTACAAGAAAAGCCAGATAGAAGCTCTTAAAATTCTTATTGAGTCATTGACTGGTGATGATGATTTGTAGTTGGTGTTGCAGCTTCCTGTGTTGCAGAAAGTCAGGACAGTGGTTCATCTACAACATCATCTAGAATGGCTGCACAAGATCTAAATGAGTAGGTTATTCCTCTCAATAGCATCTGAAATTTACTGATTTGCCTTACATTGGATGACTGCTGAATTTATCTTAAAAACAGTGGTTACCAGGTGACTGAGGCTCTGCGAGTACAAATGGAAGTGCAGCGTAGACTGCATGAACAGTTAGAGGTTAGTTTCCATTGTTCTGGCCATGTCTATCTATAGTTGCTTATGGTTTTTTCTTCACTTCAACCACCTTCAGAACTTGCTCGGGTGTACCCAAATTATCTATACAAGATTGAACTCCACATGTTGAAAGATTCTCAATTACATTGCCTGCTGCAATATTGACATGATTAGATATTTGTCCTTTTGAACAACTATGTCATTGTGCACTTGTTTTTCTTATGTTTTTGGCCAGACTTAACTTTCTAGTTTATGATTTTGCAGAAGGATGCTTACTTGGTTTTACTTTGTGCAGGTACAGCGTCATCTTCAACTTCGGATTGAAGCCCAAGGCAAATACCTACAGTCAATACTTGAGAAAGCCTGTAAGGCTCTGAATGATCAGGCTGTGGCATCTGCTGGTCTTGAAGCTGCTAGGGAAGAACTTTCTGAGCTAGCCATCAAGGTCTCCAATGATTGTCAAGGGATGGTCCCGCCTGAAACCATGAAACTACCTTCCTTGTCTGAACTTGCTGCAGCCCTAGAGAGCAAAAATGTTTCCAACATGCCAGCCCATATTGGCAACTGCTCTGTAGAAAGCTGCCTGCCTTCAACTGGAAGCCCTGCTTCACCAATGAATTTGGGTCCTCAGGCTGCTGCTGCTGCTCTGAAGAAGAGGCCAAGGCCCTTGCTTAGCAATGGAGACACCCTGCCCTTGGAAGGCAATATAAGGCAACAAGTAGAGTGGGTGATGCCTAATATTGGTTGAAATAGCAGACATCTCCATCTTAGAAGTTAGAAATGGAACCTTTTCCTTGTTTATTTTTTGTTCTTTACCCATGTCTAGTGTCTTGTTAATCCAATTGTCCTCTCTGGTATCAACCATACCATCATCTGTATATTCTAATCGCAGATCCTTCTACGTTTTGCCTTCTTTCTATATTTCCAACTTAAAGTTGCCATCTTTTAGTTATACAGGCAGGGTAAGTTCAGAAATTATTCTTGTTTGCAGTCGGGAATTAAATTAAATATAGGAGTGAGAAATTAAAAACAGAAAGGACATTTTTAGGAGACTACATCTACATGCGGTTTAGATTACAAAAATATTTAGGGATCAGCTTTAATTTGTTTTATTTTTTAAAATATATAAAGATAAAAAGTTATTTTAATTCATGTATTTTTTTTTAATGAGAACTAATTATAATGATATAATTTTAAAATAATTTTTTATTAATTTTGAAGAAATAAGATAAATAGATATTATTTTTAATATTTAAATATTTTTAATAATTTCTATAAAAATTTGATGTGTATTTTTTTTTTTTTTTGACAAGAATAATGGTTAGAAAGTTAGTATGAATTAGTTGTTAGCAATTGGAGATTCAATCCCTAAATCGAGTGAACATTCCACCCTCTCAAATGAGGTGCACGACTATCAAATCGTTTTTAATGGGGTTAGAGTTCAAAATTTCGACCATCTTAACCAAACATTTAAGACTTGAAATCGAACCATTAAACTTAACAACCGAATTGGTTGTGTATTCTAACGGATAACAAAGAGGCGGTTACTTAATAAGGGGCCTACCACTCTATTATGGACAAATTAAATGTAGTGCTGTTCACATGAGATGGACGGCATTATAGCATTTCTTAATTTTTATTTATTAATGGTTTATTTTGAATGGATTTACATTTAGAAGTGGAGGATTTGAATGCCAGCTTAAGGGTTGAGAAGTGCATCTTTTAAGTCGATTTATAACTGTTAGATTGTGAGGGTCAGATATATTTATTAATGGTATTTTAATACATATTATTTTATAATTTAAATTATTTTATATTATAAAATAAAAAATTTTAAATAAAGAAAGATTTTCAATATCAAAAAGTCTCCTCTTCATTTAAGTATAAACATTTTACTATTTAAATTATAAATTACTTTTTTCTTTGATAGATTCATAATCTAAATGGTACTTTTGTTTTGTCAATTTAGATAGAAAAAAATCATGAATTGTTAAAAAATTTGTTATTTTACACTTTAAATTATACTAAATTACAAAATAAATGCCCTTCAATGGAGGACTCTCTTCAATATCAGAAGCCTTTTTTTTTTTTGAATACAACCCCTAATCACTTGGATTTAATCTCTTTAGTTTAGTGATAAACCATCAAGCCGATTGGTTGGTTCTATCAAAAGCTTCCTATTAATTCATCTATTAGTATTTGCAGTCCAGACTGTAAGATATTTTTTTATTTTAAATAATGAAGAAAAAGTACATGTTTGCAAGTGCCCAGTGGCTAATGATATTTCTGAATGGAGCCACACCTTTGTCAAAAATCATTATGGTATTTCATCATCTCCACTTGTAAACAATCCTATTTCGCTCCTTTTCCTTTTCTGCTGGGGCAATAACTTCTGCCTTTCTCCCCATAAAACTCCTGTTCTTTCTGCCCTTTCTGGCTCCTTCTATTCCAAGTTGGAAGAAAAAGCTGTTTCATCTCGCGTAAATTTCAATGGGTATGTTTTTATTTCTCTGCTTCTTCATTTGATCTGTTAATTTCTGTTGAAACCCAAGATGAAATCAGAGTGATGCCATGTAGATGTGATGAAATTGTCAAGAATTCAATTTTTGCAACTGGGTTTTGCTTAGAGAGTTTATATTTACGTACTTCAGAACTATGGTGGTAGTTTATTCCCTGCTTTTAGCTTACTGATTTTTGTAATTTTGGAAATAGATGATTTCTAAAGTTCAATTATTTCTGGGAAATGGTTTTTGTTTCATATTTTCTGTTAATTACTGATTGTGGTTTCTAATATCATGTGCAGTAGATGAAATTTTTGGAGTTGTGGGATGGATTTTAGGGAACCTAAAAACAAAATCAAATGGTTGTTGTTTGATAAGTTCAACTTCACTTTCTATTGCATTGGGTCCTATTTTGATTTTTTTTTTTTTTTCCTTTTTCCTTTCTAGGATGGTCTGTTTGTGGGTGCCTTTTTCATTTGTAAAATATCCTAGGTGAAGTAAGTAGATGATAGAATCTGATGATTCTGATCTTGTTCTTTATAGTTAATTCATTCATTCCTTTGCTTGTTATTTGATTGTAGATGCCATTGAATCTTGAATGAGTTAGAGAAAAGAAAGGAAAAGTATTCCGCATTTTCCTTTCTTTTGTTCTTCACTCTTCACAAGCTATTATTTTTCTTCTTGGGTGCTTTTATTAACATTTTTCTTCTATTCAGAAAGAAGAAAAAAAGGTTTATTTGACCCCAAACAGAATACTAGAAATCAGCCTCATCCATCCTGGAAAAAGAAAATTCAATTGAACATTGTAGTCTTCATGCTAAGAGTGTCATTGCGCTCATTATATGGTCTTCATTGCCACCAAAGTGGCCATTAGAATCAGTATCAGTCATCTTCAAGTTTATTCCTTAGAGTATTGATTTTCCACTTTAGTAAGCACCATTGTATAATTCCCCATTCTTCCTACAACTTGCTACAACTCCACATCTATATTGCACATTTGCATCAATCAATACTGACACTGCAGACTCATTCTACAAGAGTAGTCCAATGAATCCTTACACCACTACTTATCACTGCCATTGCTGCCACAACCCACAATCCTTGAAGTCCTTAGTCTGGGTGAGAGAGAAACACTGGCATTCCATAATACACAATCCCTGAAGTCCCCTGTGAGTGAGCAGAAAGAGAGAGAGAATTGGGGGACTGAATAAATGAAAGTAAATACAAATAAACAATTCTCCTTTTGCTTTTAATATATTTTTTTTGCTGTTCTATGTATTTTTTGGGGTACTCTTAGGAAAACCAAAGCAGAATGTTTCTCATTTAGCCTTAGATTGTGCTACTTTGATCAAGCAGGTGGATAGGAGAATATTTGGTCATTTTGATTACTGAATTTGAATGTGAGGAATGTTTTGTGAAAATATTGTCTCCTAAACAAGACTCGTAACATACAAATACAATGTATTGGTTGTGATTCTAATATGCAAAATGTTTAATTTGGTCAACATGTTCATTTCATTCTTGAGACTATAACCGATTTCTGTCTTATCTTAAGGCACATGTCATCCTGGCCCTTCTCTGAAGTTGTTGTCCAGCAAAGTGGGATGCATGCTTTGTGGTTGTGGCTCACTGGAGAAATATAAGAGGTTGGATGAGAAACTTGAAAGGAAAATGATTGAAGTTAGGAGAACTGCTTCAGGACATGCAAATTTTAAATCAATCAATAGCATTATTATGAGGTTCCCTCAGTTTAAAGAGGGATTAAAAAACCTCAGAGGTGCATTTGAGCAGTATGGTGAGTTAAAAGAAGGGTTTTTTTTTTTTTTTTGCTTCTGCAGGAAGTTATGCTGCAAATTCACTCTCTCTCTCTCTCTCTCCATATAGATGAAGACTCTAATGGAACCATTGACAAAGAGGAACTTAAAAAGTGCTTAGAGAAACTGCAACTTCATTTAAAAGAAGAGGAGGTTGAGGATCTGTTCCATTCATGTGACATTGATGGGAGTGACGGAATACAGTTTAATGAGTTTATTGTTCTCCTGTGTCTCATCTATCTTCTGATGAAACCTGCTTCCTCTCCCGATACAGCTTCCACAGTAATCTGAGTTTTTATTTATTTTCCTCGTATGGCATGTTAGCAAGTGCTAAAACTGCATCTTCTGATGATGACCCGGTGATTTTTTCAGACATCAAAGATTGGTTCACCAGACATTGAGGCCACTTTCAACACTATTGTTGAGGCATTCTTGTTTCTTGATAAGAATGGTGATGGGAAATTAAACAAGCAAGACATGATCAAGGCGTTGAATGATTACTCTCCATGGGAAAAATCCCCTGCACATGTCACCAGGACCAGATTCAGTATAACCCCTTCACTCATTTGGCCTCAACATTTTTATTCTTTTAGTAACATCTGTTATGTTTTCTACTAATCACTCTTACTTTTGCTATTTGCTCGGGAAAATGCAGAGGAAATGGATTGGGACAAGAATGGGATGGTCAGCTTCAGAGAATTCCTCTTTGCTTTTGTTAGCTGGGTCGGAATTGACAGTGATGAAGAAGAAATTCCTGAGGAAGGAAGCTAAATGCAAACAAAATTAAACACTCTGCTGTGAGATCAGGTATTGTCTTAGATGTTTGTCCATTTATCTAAAACATTCCCAGTACATTATTCCTAAGTGTTGCTATTATCTTAGATATTGAACCTCCGAATGTAGTGTTAAATTCGAACAGATTATTCTTGTTCTTTCTTTCTGTAATCTAATATATTGTGCCGTTTAAATTATGTTAGAAATGCAATGCATTGGAAGTTCATAGCAGCAGATTGACTAACTCCAAATTCCTCCTCTCATTCGTTATACACAGCACCTTGATTAGTGTACAATAGATGAACTAAGTACACAAAAACCGAAAACGAAAAACAATAGATCAACCGAAACTCACTACAGATCTATGGATACATCTCTCTCCTTTGTGCTACATGGTGAGGATTTCATTGTATTCCCAATGCCTGGATTCGCTTCACCAACGACAAAGATGAAGAATTCTTCTGTTTCCATTCTTCTCTGCTCTCCTTCCTCTGCCCTTCTGCTGTGAAAAATTTATCATTTCCGTCGAGTATGCTCACAATCTGCCTCATATTAGGCCTTAATTCTGGGTTATACCTTGTGCAGACTATTCCTAGTTTTGTCAATCGTAGCAGTTCTTTCCTGTTATACTCTCCGTTCAACCTTATGTCAACCAGTTCCTCCAATGGACGTTTCTGAGATTCAAACTCATGAACCCTCTTCACCAGTAGCGCCTCTGGCCGCCTGAAGTCCACAGCCATCTGCCCACTAACCACCTCAAGCACCACCACACCAAAGCTGTAAACATCAGCCATTGTGGTTGCGTCACCGGATTCCATGTACTCCGGTGACATGTAGCCGAAAATCCCACGAACTGATTTGTTCTTGTTGGTAGCAGCATGATGGGCATGATCGTTTCTTGCTAAGAACTCGGCCAGGGCGAAACTACTGAGCCGTGGGTTCAGTTCGGGATCGAGAATGATGGCAGAAGAGGTGATGTTTCTGTGAATAACCTGTTCATCCCATTCTTCATGAAGGTAAAGAATGGCGGAAGCAAGGGATTTGATAATGTTGTATCTTGGGCGCCACCGGAGAACAGAATGTCCAATTCTGTTATCGTGATGGAAGAGAAGGTGACTCAACATCCGATTTGCAGAGTAATCATAGATGACAAGCATCTCTCCTTGTTCCGTACACCACCCCCGGAGTTGTACCAGATTCCGGTGGCGGAGCCGTGCTAGGTTCTGAAGTTCATTGGAAAATCGGGTCCGCAATGCAGGGCATTTCGTCATGCCGAGTCTCTTCACGAGAACCGGCCGGCTGTCGAGGAAACCGCGGTAGGCGGTTCCGAAGTCGAGCTCTGCTACCCTTTGCGATTCTGCGAAATTGTTGGTGGCGGAAATGATTTCCTTGAATGAAATTTCCCTCGGAGTTTCAATCAGGAAGAAATTTGTTGATCGGCGACCGCTGGGATTGGACGCTCTAGAGTCATCTGGTAGAGTGTTACCACACTCGGCAGTTGCATAGATCGTTTCTCCCAGGGCTGTGAGGTAGTTAGATGAAGCAGAAGTGGGGGTTGTGTCGGTGCTGGGGGCGTTGCTGCTATTGGTAGTGGTGGTGGCTTTGCTTGAGGCGGTGTTCGAGGGAGAGGATAAAGAGATGTACAGTGGCTGCGACTGAAATGATGGCAGAGCCGGTAACCTACCGGATAGGTTGCCGGAAAGAACTTCCACGACCCACTTCATGTTCGGCCTCAAATGGGGATTGTGGAGAGTGCAGAGGAGTCCTACGTGGAGGAGCTGGTCCATGTCCGCCAGCCTGTAGGACCCATCTGCAAGTCGGCTATCTCCGGCTTGCAAAAGCCTTCCCTCGTCTGAGAGTCGCCGGATCCAGTCAAGCAAAATAATCTGATCATCCGCAAACGTGAGATCCACCGCACGCCTGCCGGACACCACCTCCAACACAACAATTCCAAAGCTGAAAACATCGGATTTTGCAGTGGCAACGCTCCGTCTCTGAAAACTCTCCGGTGGCAGGTACCCAATTGTGCCACCAATTCTGGTTGTGTCACCCAGCCGGAACTGGTTCTTCTTTGTGGTCGGCGTCTTGAATTGGTACTCAAGTTCATGTTCAAGCCAGCGTGCCAGGCCAAAGTCACCGAGCCGAGCGTTGAAATGAGAATCTAGCATAACGTTGCTTGTCTTTACATCTCGGTGGATAATTTGGGTTTCGAGTTGCTCGTGGAGGTAAAACAGGGCAGCCGCCAAGCCTGCCACTATTTTTCTCCTGCGGTCCCAAGTAAGAGGCGGGGGCGCTGACCCCAGGTTTTCGGACCTCCTGAATAGTGCTCTGTCCAGGCTGCGGTTAGGCATGTAGTCATAAACCAGCAGCAATTGGTCATCGTGAACGCACCATCCCCTCAACCGGACAAGGTTTTTGTGGCGCAAATGCGCAACAGCCATCAGCTCAGCCGCAAACGTCTTTTCGAACCGCTCCCCTTTCTCCGCCAGGCATTTCACGGCCACCACTGTTCCATCACTAGGTAAGACTGCTCTGTACACCCTGCCAAAGCCCCCACTCCCCAAAACTTCATCTTCACTAAACCCTTTAGACCCTATATAAAGCTCAGCATAGCTGAAAATCCTCGGATTCTCTCCTGCAATCTCCTTCTCGGACATTAAAACTCCTTCCAGGTCATGAAAAGCAGTAGACTGCTGTCTTCTTAACACCCTATGATGACAGAAACCAAACAATTTCGAATCATAGAACCGGCGTAATGAATCACCAACAAATGTCAAAACTTGACTTCCACAATCACGGTGTTTCTGCTTCTTGCCCTCCTTGTTTTTGGGTTTATCAAGCGACTCGATTTCATCAAAATCTGCAGGTAAAATGAAACAAAGCCGGTTGAACTCCATGGTGGAGATGGCGATGGCAATGGTGGAGGTGCCAAGAGGATTAGCACCAGATGATGGGCATGAAAGGAAATGGAGCTAATGAGGAAACAGAGGAATATAGAAGCTAAAGCAAGCTTTATAGGAACTTTTGGGTGCTGTTTTTGGCTTTGTGCTTTTTATTCAACATTGTTAGGTTGCATGGTTGAATTGTCTGCTTCTCTATGATGTCATAAAGGAAGATTCTTCTGCAATATTAATCTAATCTTTTTATCTTTCTGGAAAGATTACACCCAATTTTCTAGGGATGATTTCACATTAAGAATTGTAGTCTCATACGTGGGAAAATCATTGCTCTCCTTGACAATTAATGAATGGGGTTGCCGAGTGGGTCAAAGCATACACTCATAACGTTGTCCACCATTTCCCATCACTCTGACATCCAAGTGTAACGTGATAGCATTTAAGTTTTAACCATAACCTTGTGCTTATTATTTTTGTTAGATAGTACATCTCTGTTCTATTTTAGTTCACCAACTTTTTTGGCTTAGATATTTAAACAATTTAAAGGGTAGTCAAAACTTAATGATTAGGTGGTAAAATAACATCTTTATTCCTAATAAAGTTTGAGAAAAAGGAAACATCAAGTCATTTTGATATAAAAATGTAATGATATCGAATAGTAATTATTAAATGTGTAAGATATAATATAAGTGTTAATTTTATTAAACTTATTATTTATTTATTATTAAACTTCTTAACATTTAGCACTAGGCCTAGAGGTCCAATGGCACTTGCCATTGCAAAGTGCATTTCCTCCTCCCCGACAGGTTTCGAACCCGTCCATGTCCAAAAGTTCAAAAAAAAAAAAAAAAAAACTTCTTAACATTTATAATGTTAGGATGTCCTAATTTTTCTTTTTCTCATAAAGTTTTATCATTTTATAAATACAATAAATTAGAGTAATAGAGATAAAGTTAAAATAATAACATTTAATTCAAAGAAATAAAAAATGGCACAACTAAATTGGAATACTCAAATTTAATAAGTGAGACGATTAAATTAGAATTTTAGAATGGAGAGAGTAGGCTCTATGATCATCTTCTAAAATACCAACAAGAGTTTTGATGGAGTTAATACACATTCACTTAAAAATATTAATTTAGAGTTAAAAGTCATAATTCAAACCTATGTTATGGGCAATAGCTAAACCTATGTGTGTGTGTATATATATAAATCATCTTCTAAAACTAGAAATTTAATCTTTCAATTTAAAAATGCAAAGAGGTTATCACTACTAGTATATTTAGGTTGAGAAGAAGAAGAGGAGAGGGAGGGGAAAGAAAATTTTTTAATCAATTAAATTATAACGTTTAGTCAAAAAATCTTCCCCTCTTCTCAATTTCTCTCAATCCAAACATATGATAAGATTTTATCTTACTATCATTTTCTAAATGCAGAAATTTAATGCTTCAATTTATTAGGATACCTTTCTTTTCTTTGGGTGTTTCCTCGTGTCAACGCTCTAACTAGCAAATTCGTTCATTTGATCAAATTCATATGGCAAGAAATTAGAACTTAATCATATTCATAGTAGCACGGATATTACGTGCTTCACCTTTATAGCTAAAGATAACAAATTGTGCCATGCAAACTTAATTTCTACATCATCTATTCCAAAATAACTATAATATTTTGATTTTTTCTCTAAATTTAAAATTTAAAAACAATTTATATGTTTACTTATTTTAACTTTAAAACAAAAAGATAAAAATGAAAAATGACTTTTGTGATATGATGATTAATTAAACTAAATATATAATAATAAAGTTAAAATAAGAAAAAAAATGTTTGTATATCCTAAAAAAATAACAATTAATTTAAAATAATAATTTATAATTATTTTAAAATATATGAAGCATCAAATATTAGGACTTGCTAACGAGTAGTAGATCGAATTGGTGAAATCTTTTTCATTTTTTGTACTGTAACATGGTAAAATCTTTTTCATTATTATATCAAAGACCTAAAACTGAATAACTTTCATTTTTTTATTAATTTTTTCTTTAAATTAAAGATTTTGAGACAACTTTGAAGATGTTTGAGAGAGCAGGATGGCTGAAAATAATCCATTCTATTCCTCAATGAATATTTACATGTATTATATAATTATAAGATATCTATAATTATTTTTTTTTTGTACATTTGATTATAAATTATGTAAGAGAAAATAGTCTTCTCCTAATCATAAATCCCTCTCCACTTAATTCAAAACTTGAACTTGAGATCTCTAATTTAAAGTCTCAATTTCTTAATTGTAGAATCACCTTATTAGTTAAAAAAAATCTATAATTATGCCCAAAATCAATTGCAAGTTGATCCTCGATTTGTTAATTTTAGGTTAAATGCTAAATTTGGTCCCTCAATAATTTTTTGTATTTTTTGATCCCTCAACTCTAGGAAATGCATATCGTTAGTCCTTCTGTCAATTTAGATCGTTAATTCCACCATATGACAATTTATATATATATTTTTTGATAACATGACGAAAACAACTTAAAAAAGTGTTGATTTGGATTTTTTTTATAATACTTCAACGCCAACTCATAAATCAAATTTGATTAGCATTTATATTTTTAATAAAAAAATAAAAAACTACAAATTTACCTTAATACCCTTGTCTCCTTTTCTTTATCCATCTTCTTCCCCTCTTTCGATCCATCTTTTTCCTTTCTTTTTTATTTTTCTTTCTTCCTCTTCTTTCTTCCTCTTCTTCCTCTGTGTTGCTGGGTTCCCTCAAACCCAGCTGATCTGGGTTCAAGGGAACCCAGCTCAGGTTTGATGGAACCCATCTGCTGGGTTCCACC